ATCACTTTATACGTTTAACGCTATATGGTGGCCATTTATAATGACGTTTCTTACGGATTGGTTCATTCTTATAAGAAACTGCCAATTGCATTGAGTGTTTAGCTTTTAGCTGGAATAGAAGAGCCACACCAGCAATGCTATTTCATAGACGTACGTATTATATTCAAGCACTTGTAATATTCTTAAAAATATGTATGTGTAAGAAGCTTTTTTAGAAGCTTCAATGAGGAGAAAAAAAAATGTACATATATATATATATATATACACATATATGTGTGTATGAGATATTCTAAACTGGCATTAATAAACTGCTTCTATATACGAACACTCTGATTGGTACATTGGTCTAAATTGCATGTCCTTACACATTTAGTCCGAAAATTTTAGATTCGGACACGGAACTTCCTTCAGTTTGTACGTTGATACATAAGAGTTTTATTAATTACGAGATGTATGAAATATTGAAAATTATTTTATACATATTATAATTCGTCGTATGAATTTAATAATATTATAATAATTGGTAAGCATACGTATTAATTTTTCCTTCAGAATTAATATACATAGATAATATATATATATATATGTATATAACATATATCGATGTATTAGGTTAGGTTAGGTCTTTCTTTTCTTTCGATATACTAACACATGTTTATCGCATCAATTGCGCACATTTGATTATAAATAACTATCACAACATATCATGCGAGCCAACATCAAATATTATATTTATTTAACAATTCTTAGTTAATTTTTTCTTTCTTTTCTTTTTATTTGTTTTTAATAATTTTAACGAATCTCATATGTATATATATGCACGTGATTGATATATATATATGTATAAATATTATTTTAATTAAAAGAAAAGAAAAGAAAAAAAAAATTGACAATGTTTTAGTGTATTCGGAGATTTTATTATAACGAACGATTATTACTACGTGGGATACTCCAATGACCAAAAATAAAAAGGTTTTTATATTATATCAATGATGATTATATTTCATCATTTTTGTACATACGTTCCTTTTTAGAATTCAAGTTTATTGATACAACTTCATAATATATATATATATTTTTATATATATATATGTGTGTGTGTGTGTGTTTGTGTAGATTCCACAAAATTTTATTAAGTTGCTTATTAATTGATATTTTGCTTTGTATTTTAATATTTTATTTTGTTAGAAAATAGTGAGTTATATGCCTATGCTTTTGTAGAATCATATATTAGGTTATTCTATTTATATCAATTATTGTATTCTTTATATTAAAAAAAAAAAAAAGAAAATTGCCTATATGTATATGTTATATGTTATATGTTATATGTATTATTTAATCCTTAACAGTTAAAATGCATTGCTGCAGAGTCATATATACACAAGTATAATAATCCCTATGGTAGAGTCTTTTAACTGTTAATGATTAAATATCAACATTAGAAAAATATAAAATTAAAAATATATTTAAATACTAATTAATCTTCACCATTATATACATGTCGTATTTTAAGAATAATTATTGTTATCACATTGCAAATATTATTCTCCTTATATGTTATTAAGATTAGTAGAAAATGTTTACTTATTGCTTCTTTTATGATTTCAGTTGTTCCTGCATGCAGTGCACTGTGTCTGCAATCTTCCCGATAATATTGCACAATATTTTTTATTACTTTGCTGTATTGCATAAAGTATATAAGACATAAATGGCTGCTTATATCAATCGTACAATATCTTTAATTGGTGGAGAGAGTCAACTTCGATCTACAGATATTAGAACTGATCATTCTCCTCTACAGATTTTTGTTAAAGCAAAGAAGAAAATAAATGACATATTTATTGAAATAGATGACTATGTTCAGGATACAGTGGCATTTATGAAATGTTAGTAATTTATATTTAAAATATATATGCTGTAATTTATATATATATATATATATATATATATATATACTAATTACAAATGTCATTATATTTGTAGCATTGCAAAATGATCGTAAGATTATTACTTTGGAGGAAGTATCAAGAGTCCAAAATTATGTAGACAAAGTTCATGCAATACGAGATGTCCTTAAAAGAGATCACATGAAAGTTGCATTTTTTGGAAGGTATTTATATTGAATGTACATAATATTATATAATAAAAATAATATAATAAAGTAAATACAAATTGTAGAACGAGTAATGGGAAAAGTACAGTTATAAATGCTATGTTACGAGATAAGATATTACCAAGTGGAATAGGGCACACAACAAATTGCTTTTTACAAGTAGAAGGATCAGATAGTGGAGAAGCTTATCTTATTACTGAAGGATCTACAGAAAAACAACCAGTTCAATCTGTTGGACAATTGGGTCATGCTCTTTGCAAAGAGAAATTATGTGAAAGCCATTTAGTTAGAATATTTTGGCCAAAAGAGAAATGTCTTTTATTAAGAGATGACGTAGTCTTTGTCGATAGTCCTGGAGTTGATGTTACACCTAATTTAGATGAATGGATTGATAAACATTGTTTAGATGCAGATGTATTTGTTTTGGTTGCTAATGCTGAGTCTACTTTGATGGTCACTGTAAGTATTAATATTAATATTTATTCTCTATTATATTAAAAAAAAAAAAAATATATATATAATAACAAATAAAATTTATTCTTATAGGAGAAAAATTTTTTTCATAAAGTATCTACTAAGTTATCAAAACCAAATATATTTATTTTGAACAATCGTTGGGACGCATCTGCTTCTGAACCAGAATTCTTTGATCAGGTATTTATTATTAAATTATATTAATATCCAACGAAGAGAATCTATATTATTTATATTTATATATATTATTTATAGTTTATTTAATAATTCAGTAGTAGTAGTAGTAATTAGTGTATTAATTAACAGTTTGAACATATTGTATAGTCAGATTTTGATTTAAGTAATACTACCAATTTATCCCTTAGCTGGTCAAAGAACAGAAAGAGGTAAGTTGGTTTGTTATATGGATTTGTATTGAACAAAATGGTGATATGTATGTTTTTAATAATTTCTTACAGTATCTCATACAGTATTGTCATCGATCATGATTTGACGATTATTCGTTGTAGTACAAATAACATTTAGTATATTAGAATAAATATCAATTGCAAAAAAAAAATTTGCTATCCATTAATTTCTATTTTTGATTATTTTATATATATATATATATATATATATATATAATAGAATATATATAATAAAAAAAATATATGTATATAATATATATAAACGTTAAATGGAATTTTTCAGCTATTAACCTGTATATATCATTTGCGTAGGTCAGAGCTCAGCATCAAGAACGTGCTGTGGACTTTTTGTCAAAAGAATTAAAAGTTTATTCACCAAAAGATGCAGAAGAACGTGTATTTTTTATTTCTGCCAAAGAAACTCTTCAAGCTCGTATGCAAGAACAACGTGGTCAACCTGCTCATAGTATGAAATAGAATTATATTTATATAATTATAATTATATATATATATATATATATATATATATATATATATATATATATATATGATGTATAATGTTTTTATGGATTATTATTTGCTTCTTCTTTTTTTTTTTTATATTAAAATTTTTTACAGATGGTGCATTAGCGGAAGGCTTTCAGAATCGTTATTTTGAATTTCAAGATTTTGAAAGAAAATTTGAAGAGTGTATTTCTAAATCTGCTGTTAAAACGAAGTTCGAACAACATTCTCAACGTGGTAAACACATAGCCACGTAAGTTCAATTGAAATTTAATTTTAATTTCTATTAAAATTTATGTGACAATATAAAAATATAATATTGCATTTTCCTTTGCTTTCTTTTTTTTTTTTCTTTTTGTTAACTTTGCTGTTTAATTTTTTTTTTAGGGAAATTCGTCAAACTTTGGATGAAATATTGGAGAGAACACAAGCAATGCGAGGTGAACAATTAAATGTTAAGAAGGAAGTTCATGACAGATTAAATTTCACAGAACAGCAGTTAATATTATTAACTCAAGAAATGAAAGATAAAATTCATCATATGGTAGAAGACGTTGAACAAAGAGTTGCCAAAGCTTTAAATGAAGAAATTCGTCGATTAGCCGTTCTCGTTGATGAATTTAGTGTACCATTTCATACAGAACCATTGGTATTGAACGTATATAAACGTGAATTACATACACACGTGGAAAATGGTTTAGGTAATAAAATATTACATTTTATATATATATATATATATATATATATATATATATATATATATACATTTATGATAACAAAATGAATATAATCTATTAAAGAAGATATTGATTATATTTAAAGGTTCCAATTTACGGGCACGTTTAAGTACAGCTTTAGCATTGAATATGGAAAATTCACAGCGTGAAATGACAGAGAGAATGGCAGGTTTATTGGCGGATAATAAAAAACAAATGTCTTTAAATATTTTACCTAGACGTGAACCATTTGAAATATTGTACAGATTGAATTGCGATAATCTTTGTGCGGATTTCCATGAGGATTTAGAATTTCGATTTTCATGGGGTTTAACGTCTATTATTAATAGATTTGCTGGGAAACAAAGTCATAAATTAACCATTGCTAATTATCCACAAGAGGTATGATATATAAAATAATAATATTATATTTATTTTATTACATTAACACATTAATTGCCATGTTGTATTTACATTATGCTCTCATAATTTCATTAGAGAATTTTCATTATTCTAAATATATAATGAGAAAATAATAAGAAATCTTTAAATTTGACCTTAATGACTCCATTAATGATCTCATTGAGAAAATTATCTCGTGATCATAATTGACCAAGATAACAGTCAACGTATTAAAATCTTATGTAACTAATCAAAATATTTTTAAAGATATGAAAATTATAGTAATAAAATCTTTATAGATACCACCGTCTATAGCATCGCCAACAGATAGCATTGATTCTATTAAATTTGTATCAAATACACCAAATTTTTCGACAAATTCCG